ATGATGATGATGATGCAACAGCATCGTCTTGTGATCTCCCCCAAAGCTTCCAAATGCAAACTCTCCTTACGAGACAGCTCCTCAACACCTTCTCATGCATGCAACAATATCCAATCCCCTTCACCATCCCCAAAACCCCCTTCCCTTAATTCTACACTCATGCTCATCATGCAATTGCAACTCTTCCTCACTAACTGTACTTCATCTTGGAACAATCCACCCTTTACCATCTCAAGCTCAATCATGATCTTCCTTCCTCCTTTTGTTCGTCGTCCTCCCCCGATCAGATTCTTGGCGTATCGCTTGGTTTTCCGGATCAGTTTGTAAGGAAGTTTGAGGAAGACGAAGATGATGATCTGGAGAATCAAGCATTGGCTACAGCAACATATGACTACGCAGTCAGCGACGAGCGTGTTGCAGTCTTCCATCACTGATTCGATATTGTTATCGTCGGAGGTGGAAGGAGGCACAATAAGGGGAAGGAGATAAAATGGTTGCACTCGTACAAGCCATGTTGTTGTTGTTGTTAAGGAATAAGTTCCTTGTCCTGTTGGAAGGGCTGGTTAGGTTATTAGCAAAGGCAAAGCAAACGCAGAGATTTTTGCATATGCGGCAAGCGGTGAGGCAATTGCGTTTGCCCATTTATTTGCCCAACAAATACATTACACGCTAAGACAAGTATATATTTTATTGCATCATACGTACTTGAATTTTGATTTAGATTCTAAATTAGTCCGTAATCTTTAAAACCTTATAATTTGATAATTAAATTATTACTATTATATCGATCATGTCATTCAATGTTTATTATCTTCTTTTTTTTATTAACATTGCTTATCCTTTAACATATTAGATCCAAGTCCATGTAGTAGGCCAACGGAAAAGCCGTAACTTTTTTTTTTGGAGATAAAAATTGAATTATAAATTTTTGAACAGTCAGAATAAAATTTTATTACATAATTTTTCAAGGGACTAAATCAAAGTTTTACCATTTTTACGAGGTCCAATCTCTGATTTTGTTGCATCCTGGTCCTTCAATCTTTAGACAGATTCAATTATTCCATGCTCTCTCCCATGTAATTAATATTGTTTTCTATATACACAAAACAAGACATGCACATAATTACATGACATTTTTCTTTTTTGAGATAAAAATTGAATTATAAATTTTTGAACAGTCAGAATAAAATTTTATTACATAATTTTTCAAGGGACTAAATCAAAGTTTTACCATTTTGAGAGGCCCGATTTCACCTAAATCAGTTTTACCATTTACGAGGTCCAATCTGATTTTGTTGCATCCTGGTCCTTCAATCTTTAGACAGAATTATTCATGCTCTCTCCATGGAATTAATATTGTTTTCTATATACACAGAACAAGAAGACAAGACATGCACATAATTTACATGACAATGTCTGCTTCTTTTTCTAGCAAATTTGCATACAAGCTTTATTAAAGCTTTAAATTCGGTTGTAACAAAATTGGCATCAACCATTCAAAACACAAAAAGAATTGCAGTTAAACATGGCTGAATGGGGAGAACCAAAACAATTATAATAATATACATTAATGATATTTAAGGAAACTACATAACCCAGTACACCTTACAATATATTGGAGGGTTCTAAAACTGTCTCCACATCAAGGTGCTGTCCAAGGCCAACTTAGTATCTTTCAACCTAAGAACCAAACCTCCAGCAGCTATACTGATTTGAATTCGCACCCGTGCAGCTCCGCCTGCTCAGGCCAGCTCCGGTCAATTCATGTTTTATCATATTCTTCTTCAAACTACCCCTGCTGTTGCCATTTTCACTAAAATAATCTGTACTGTAATTTTGACTGCCGAAAGCCATCCTCCGAAACCATCTGATTCTTCGGATTGCTGTGCGGAGTTAAATACCTCACTTTCACCCACTTTCATTCCGTTGGTCAATCCGAGGTGGCTAAACTTTCAAACGCTCTCACAACTGAGGAAAATAATTCATGTAAGAAAGCGTCATGGTGACAGCAACGCCAACTCCATATCGTTCTAATGATCAGGCTATGATATGGGAAACACTACTAAAAGATCTTTATTACCTGTCCCATCCGTGGTCGTTTTGCAGCTGAATGCCGCACGCAAGATGTGGCAGCCTCGATCATCCGAAACATTTCACTTTCAACATAGTTCCACCAAGCTTTGGATCCGCTAAACCGTTGAACTCCTCACTATCCAGTGCATGACTCAGTAAAGGTCGGGCCTGAAGCATAAAGAGGAATTTATGAAAAGTTTCAGTTATTCCTTTCGGCATTCCATTCGCAGATGTCTTTTAATATTTTCCTTGTTCTCAGGTCTGTCACATGCATGCTTGTTTAGATGCATCAATATTTTCTTAACTGCGTTACTAGAGAAGTAACAACATTTGCCAAAATAGTTTGATTCATAGAAATTGAAGCATGACATTAATGAATGGTTAAATCAATAACTTACCCATTCAACTAGACTTTCATCACCAAGAGGTTGAGAAGCATCTACAGGCTTCCGTCCAGTAATTAGCTCCAAAAGCACGACTCCGAAAGAAAATACATCAGACTTTCAGTCAATTTACCACTTGATGCATATTCAGGGCCATGTATCTAAACAACCAATATAATATGGTCAATATGTGTCGTTAATAAGAAGCTATATACCTTAGACTACTATACATAAAATCAAGTAGGAAAGAAGAAAGCCTACCCAAAAGTTCCCATAACACGGGTTGTTACATGTGTATTTGCATCCAGAGCTAACTTGGCAAGTCCAAAGTCCGAAACCTGTAACATTGATTAGAAATAGGAACCGGGAGACCACTCATCAAGGAAACAACAGTTGAATGTTTACTTGAGATGAAACAGAGAAAAGAGAACCGTCCATTACCCGAGCTTCAAAGTTGTTATCTAAAAGAATGTTTGACGACTTGATATCCCTATGAATAATTCGAGGATCGCCTGAAATATGATTATCAAACAATCAAAACAAATTAATAGACCAATAAAATACTTCATGCATTGGGAAACACAAATAATAGATGGGGGAAAAGGAAATATTCTGCAAATCTTGAAGTGGCTAAATTCTGTATAGAAAGTTACTCATGTACTGCAAACGAATGAAGGATGGATGACTGATACTTTTTCTAAACTAGCTTAAACAATATATCTACATAAAAGAAAAATAACAGCGGTAATGAATTTGCCAATTTTTAACTTCCAGCTTGGAAAAAGCCAAGGAATAATAAAATCCTTCCCTTTTCCATTGTTCTTTTCATCAAACTACGTGGTAGGTCCTTGTACTATAGATGAAGAATAAATTGTTTTGTGACTTTCGTCTACTATAAAAATGAGCAATTTAATCCCTCTACATTAACTTTTAAAGCAAAGAAGTAAAGATTATCAAAAAAAAAAAGCAAAGAAGTAAATTTTAAATGACGTTAACTTGAAGGTTAAAAGAAACAAGTTTGTCATGTTGACATGGAAAAAAAAATTGGTCTCACTGTGTAATAAGTTCTGATTTGTGGCCAAACAAACATAACAACATCAAGATATGAGAATGCATTTCTCACAAAATTTTGAGAGATTTCACTAGGAAAGCAGACATTAGTCACTAATGCTAATATGCTATTCTGGACAACTAAAACTTCCAGTTTTTACGCGTTTGGCAGGTTAGAGTATCAAAGTGTTTATTCCTTGGCCATTGATATCCGGATGCTGATACTTACAGTCTTCATGGAGATAAGCTATCCCACGAGCAGCACCAGCGGCAATTTTAACACGTTTTGCCCAATCCAGAACAGGCATGCCTTCTCCTGTCAAAAGCCAGGAGTAACACAATCAGATTAGCAGTCCAATGCAGTGGGTCAATTATTCAAATCAAAGTTCAGTTATGGCCTTACCATGAAGATGGAAATAAAGGGTATTGTTAGGGACATAATCATATATGAGAAGTCTCCGATTCTCAGATATGCAGTAACCGACAAGTGAGACCAAATGGCGATGGTGTATACGACTAATAATTGCAACCTCAGCTTTAAATTCTCGTTCACCCTGTCCCCCACCGATTTTTAGCTGCTTTACAGCCACCTCTCTTCCATCCGGTAAGCACCCTTTATAAACAGCCCCAAATCCACCTTCACCCAAAAGATTATGGTATGAAAAACCATTCGTAGCCTCGGTTAATTCTTCATATGTAAACAATGACTTCGAATTGCCTAAACCGCTAGGTTCTGCCATCATCGGTGGTGAATGCACAAAGTCACTTCCGGAACTAGTTCCAATGAGAGGAGCTGAAGACTGTGTCTTGTATAGGATGAATCTATAAACATATAACATTGATCAAAACATGAGCTCCTATTACATGTAAATAAAAATTATCAACAATTCCTTAAACAACTGAATAAACAAATATGCAGCGATAAAAATCTACCTGATCTTGGGGAAGAGCCTAGTGGGGATGGCATTACATAACCACCAGTAAGTCGAGTATGGCTCTTTTCCTCTGTTTCCTCAAGCACCACCAGACAGTCAGCCCTATAAGGCCAAGCACTATGATCCCTACAGCTACTCCTATAGAAACTGTACCTCCAACACCAATGCCACCACTAGGGGAGCCCGAACTTTCGGGTGCACTTGGACCGGAAGCATTTACAGTTGGAGGCGGTGTCAAAACTCGAGGAGGAGGTGATGATCTTGATATAGGTGCTGGTGGAGATGAGCCTGAAGTAGAATTCGGGGGAGAAGGTGATGGTTGAGAACTGGGTGGTGTAAGCCTAGAGGGAGGAGGTGTTGGAGAAGGAGATATTGGAGATGGAGGAGGAGGAATTTGGCAGTTCTGTTGGTGGAGTTTGTGGTGGTGGTGAATTTGGTGGTACTGCTGGTGGAGATGGTGATGGTGGCGGTGAATTAATAGGTGGTGAAGATGGTGGGGGTCGCCGCGGTGGTGGTGGTGAAGTAACAGGTGGTTGAGTAGATGGTGTTGGTGGAGGTGAAGATGGAGATGGAGGTGAAGATGAATTTTGTGGTGGTGGAGGTGAAGACGGAGGTGGCCATGAAATTGTGGTTGTGGAGGTGATGGCCTAGGTGCATGGCGGAGGACTGAGTTTGGGGTTGATCGTGGTCGTGGTGCTGGCGGAGGGGAAGTGGATGGAACAGCTCGAGGAGGAGGGGGAGAGGTGGAACTGGGAGGAGGTGATATACGGTGGCCACTGGAGGCGGAGGGATGCGGGGAGAGGAGGTGGAGCGCTGGAAACATCTGGAGGTGGAGATTGAGGTTGAGATGGTGGTGGATTAGCAATAGTCGGAGGAGTAGTACTTGGGGAGGGAGGTGGAGTAAGTGGTGGTGGACTGGTGACAGAAGGTGGTGGCGACGCCGCATGAGGAGGAGAAGAAGACTGTGGAGGTTGTGATGGAGTAGCCATCAATTCAGTCACCAGATCAAATTGATGGTACACTAAGAATACCTATAAATTCTCACATATACCAACACACACAGTCTCATTAAAGAAAGAAAATTCCTCAAACGAAAGCTTCACATGATTCATCCAAAACAATAATTCGATCAAATTGAAAATCCCAAACCCCCCAACTTTTACTCCAATCACCAAATTTTACCAAACAAACTACCCTTGCTTCAAAACTAAGAAAACTCCCCATAGCCAACTGCTGATGACATGACTCCGCCACTTCACCACCACTTCTTGGTTGCTCAACTTATAAACCCAGCTCAGAAATCACTTGAAAAACAAAAACCAGATCCCAGAAAAATGCATCAAAGCAAAGCAGAGGAAATGCAAATCCCAAAACCCTTAGCTTAGCTTTCTATTTCAATAAACAACTGCTTACCGGGTCTCAATGTCGGTGGCGATAAATTTGTTCAAAGCTCGCCCATGACACAGGGACACGGATTGTGGGGTCACCAAGACAATCGTAAGTTGGAAAACCAGACCAATCCTATTGGTTACATAATTTAATCTGATTTAACATCAACTATTAATATGATGGTTGATTATTAGCAAGAAATTCAAATTTCATACGAATACTAGTATTAGTTTTATGGAGAAATGATTGCTGGGCCGATAAAGAAGAAGGAAGATTGCTGGAAACGTCAAGTCACCGGTGTGCATACGTCTTTCAAAATTAAAAAAAAAAACTACGGACTTTTTGTTTTTTCTTGCTTAGGCAACTAGCAGGAAAAGATTAAAATATTGATTATGCTAATAATAACAAATCAGTAATCAAAGATTTTATTAAAAAAGTGATGAAATCACGGTCGACTCTCGTAGTATTAATTAATCCTTCATTCCCAGTAAATTTGCGGCTCGATCACGTTTGCGTTGGAGCCCGCGTTTTGACAGTGATGCAATAATTAATTAATGTCCCAAATTTTATATACAATCATATAATTACAAAACAAATGTAAATATTATAGTTCAAACATAATTAATTACTGTCAAATACAATTAAAAAAACTAAATAATTAATATAAATTTGTAAATAATAAATTTAAACAGAATATAATATTAAAAATTCATATGTTATATTTAGAAAATTCAAACTTAAAATACAAAGCATTATTAAAGATCATATTTATAAGATAAATTACACGTTAGTATCCAAACTATTATTTTATTCCGTTTATAATATATTGTTTTAACATGAATTTATAATATCAATAATTAAAGAAAATATTATTTTCTTTAAAGTTCTTGAGTTTGATTAGTTATATTTATAGGGTGTGTTTTTAATAACTAAAAAATATATAAACATATTATCTTGTAATCATCGCAAACTATTCATAAAAATTATTCTTTTAGTAATTAAAAAAATCAAAATGGTCTTTAAATTGAAATAAAAATCTAGTCATTTGATCAACAAAATCAAGCATGGGTCGTTATAATACTAGTGTGACGGTTCACAACTATGATATGACAGTTTACGATACTGATGTAACAGTCCAAGGTGGATGATGATTTAATAAGGGGTTTAATTGATTTTTTGGTTGAGTTCGAAAATATATTTTTTTAAAAAAAATTGAGAGATTATTTATTTTAAAATAAATATAAAAAATTAAAAATAAAAATAAAAATAAAAAATAATTTTTTTTCACAAACTATAAAATGATATATAAAAAATGTATATTATACATAATTATACATGTAACATGTATACACAAAACAATTAAGTATATCCATATAGTCAAATTTATAAAATTAACATGCTTTAATTTAGTATACATACTAATCATTATTATAGATGTCATATAGTTTTATATTATACATATTAAACATTATTTCATTATTATGATCATATCATCAATACTTATACAAAGTATTCTTACAGAACTAATTGAGACTTACAAATTTTGTATCTAAATATAATTAGAAAATACCATAAGTTATTGATATTAATACACACGTCTAATCCAATTTTAAACAATTTTAAAAGTTATAGTCCTTACACTTATTTTAATAAATCAATATATAAACGTATTTATCTTAATTTGAGTTACTAAATTTATTTTATGAATAAATATAATATTATGAAATAATTAAATATTTCTATTAGTTTACTAATTCAAAAATAAATTTTATAAAAAAAGAATAATTTAAATTATGTTATTATTGTCAACTAGTTGTTCCGTGATTGATTTATTTTATTAAGAAAACTTCTATCATAAAGCTCGTCAATATAGATGTGAATGAAAGGCGAGGCGAGAAAGTGAGCAATTTGAGTTTTGGTGGAAAAAAAATTACATAATATTTATTTTCTAAAAAAGAGCAAACTACATGTTTAGTATTCTAATTGTTATTTTTTCCGTTTTAGTCAATCAACTATTTTTTTGGATCAACCTAACGTTATGTGTTGGTTTCATTTTGGCCGTCTATTGTTAAAAAATAACATAAATTTTAACGTTGTATCTTTTTTAATGATGACATCACATTATCTTATGGTGACCAAAATAGAGTTAAGTACAATTTGGAAAAAAATAGTTAATAACCAAAATAAAATAAAGTGATAGTTAGGTACTAAACTTGTAGTTTACCCCTAAAAAAACATGATCGAATCTAATGTAAGCTGAGAGTCAACCCATGAAATTCAAATATTAATGTGTTGCTGTCTTGCAGGTGTGGTTTAGGAGTTGGTGGAATAATATTTTTTCCAAATTAAGTATATTTTCAATTTGACCAAATTAATATGTTCATACGCCTACTTCAATTTCTATATACATAGCATAAGGCTATATATGTACACACACGTGTGTGTTTTATCTGGATCTGACGGATTTCGACTCGACCGAATTCAATTAGATTGATTTTTAATTTAAAATTTTACGTTTAGGTCAAATGTATGTTTTGACCTAAAAAATCAAATTAAATTTCGAATTAGGTGAGACCTTATTAAACCCCATATCAAGTCATGAGCATGTAAAAAAAAATCATTTTTGACTCGAAATCAAGTAATCTGTTTTTCTTTTTGTTGTACTCCTGGTTACGAAGGTTTTACCTTGATACCCGTGTCACACTTAATTTTGATAAGTGATTCTTTTATAATTTTTTTTCATACACAATAACTCAAATTCAAAATTTATTTAAATAATATTAAATTTTATTACTTAAACCAATCATCCTTAATAGTAATGCAAAAATTTAACCCGACTCGATTCATACTCATACCTAACTGTACTCACTTTGGGTTGGTGAAAGAGAAAACTTGCATGGGCTAGTGGGCCACACATATCACTTAATTATCTTAGGATTGCTTTTGGCAACCCGTAAGGAGAATCAATCCCAAACAAGTAAAAGTGTTGACAGAAACGTTTGTAAAGTGATTTTGCACCAAACTGAAAAGCTATTTTTTAAGCTTTTGGGTTTAGAAAGCTCGTTTACTAATTTTGACCGTCATAAAAGCATACCAATGTGATTTTTGAACATAAAATTGTATCACTTGTCAATGATTTATCATGCAAAGGAAACAAAGGAAGACCAATAAGCTAAAAAGTACCTTCAAGGTAGCATCTTGTTTGCGGAAACAAGAATCATGCAAGCGTCTTATAAACCTAATTCATCTTTACAAGACATCGTAGGCATGGATCGGATTCATCTGACTCAATCTCCACACACAAAAAGTTTTTCAACACAAGTGGCATCCAAACTTCAAAAGCCAATTCGACAATCATAACAAATCTTTAACGAACTCAAGGTTTAGTGTGTCTTTGACAATGAGAAAACCCAAGGAGTATCACAAACATGATCCCGGACGACATAATCCGCTGCTCCAGCTCCAGAGGAAGTTTCCGTCCGCCTCGGGCGGCTTCTAGAAGTACCAAGGCCAGCGAACCGCCGTCCAAAGCAGGTAAAGGAGAAGGTTAATGACTGCAAGATTAAGATTTAGGAGCTGCAAACTCATAGAGGCCATCCACAGTGGACCGTGCAACTTCAGCACCCACAGCAATGATGGCTACAGGGCCTGAGACTTTGCTTGCTGATTGTGAGAAATTCATGAAAGTCTGCTTCAAGCTATCCAAGACATTGTAAGTGAGACCCCAGAATTCCTTTCCGGTTAATCGAAGGCCTCCAAGATATTGTTCGGTCTCAATTTTTTTTTTATGTTTGGGTGATAACTGGACTCCAATTTTGCCTGTTCCATCAAAATTCTCATCTGGGACAACTCCAATTTCAAAATCCTGCTTTGCTCTCTCAACCTTCAGGACCACATTTCTTTGGGATTTTCTTATAATATCAACAACTTGAGAAACTACGCTCGTCCCCGTTTTCGGCAATTCGACACCGTTAATCGCAATGATAAAATCGCCGGGAAGAAGGCCGTCGCGGGAAGCAGCCGAAAAGGGTCTAACTTCAGGGACAAGCACACCGGAGAATGGCTCTTGCACCGGTAATCCAACAGACAAGACTTGAGTGAATATGATTGCGTAGGCGAAAATTATATTGGCTACGACACCGGCCGAAATGACGATGATCCTATCTAATATCGGCCTGTTCTTAAGCAAATTCTCATCGTCGTCGGGAATATCACTGTCCAGATCATTATCAGGGAACCCACGAATCCACCCAATGGGAAAGCTCTAAGAGAATATTCAACATCGTTGGCATTGAACTTTGCTAAATTGGACCGAAACCAACAGCGAATTTACTTACACGGATTCCCTGGAGAAGCAGCGAGGAAGTGACCGGTCTCGTGAACAACAATGATGGCAGTCAAGACGCCGGCAGCTTCCAACACGGATTCAACGTTGCCGAAATCTAGTCCGGGAAGAGCGCAGGACCTGAAATCAATCCTATTGGTAGAAGGACACAACAACTTGGTGTTGACTGAATAAGAAACAGAAGGATAAGGAGATTTAAAGAGATGAGTTCTGGGTTTTAATGGGAATTCCCAGTACGATGGTCTTGAACTGCATAAGCTGCTGGGGAAATAAGTAGAAGAAGAAGAAGAAGAATGAGAAGGTGGATAAGTAGAAGAAAGAGAAGAGAAGTGCATGAGCATGGCTCCGATCCTTGGGGGTGAAACGAGATTGAGGATTAAAGAAAATTGAAGAGAATATGGGGTTAGCAGAAAGAAGAAGAAAAAAGGAAAAATAATATCGTGTGTGGTGAAAAAGAAAGCAGAGGAGGATAATTCATATGTTGGGGGTCCTCCATCTGTGTGGCGGGAAATGCCCCACTGTTTTTCACCCAAAATGACACGTTATATCGATTTGCGTCACCTGTCAATATTATTATTGGGGTAAACTACCTATTTGGTCATCACTTATTATTTAATTTCTGTTTTAGACATTTTACTATTATTTTTTTAAAATCATATGCAACGTTATACTTAGTTTTGTTTTAGTAATTTATCATTAATTTTTAACGGTGATGTTGACATGACATTATCTTATCATGACATATGATCATCACCATTAATTTTTAACGATATATGACCAAAATAGAACTAAAACATAACGTTAATATGATTTTAAAAAATAATAATTTGATGATTAAAACAAAAATTAAGTAATAAATGGATTAGGAGATG